TGTGTTTTCCATTATTACTATTATTGTTATTACTGCCAAAGAATCCATTATTATTGTTGTTGTTATTATTACCATGAGATTGTTATTATCATTTCCAAAATCAACCCGATTACTAAGACCAACTGGGCAGTCGATGTGGATATTCGATGCTACTGATTTTACTGGAATGCATCCATGAGCTGCTATTGGTCGCAGCTGCGCCAGGCCCCGTGAACCTGAACTGCGTATACTACTAACTGATACCCAACATTCGATCTATGAGTAGGTAGCATCTATCATCACATTAATTTCACCAGTTTTAGCTATTAACAAAAGTTCCAATATTTAAATAAACATAACTATCGCTGCTCTCCTAAAATATAAAAAAATTTACAAAAATTTAATAAATAATTTGATAAAAATATAAAAATTTTTCCGACATTTTCAAAATTTGGAAAAATGAAATTTATATTTTTTTTTTGTTTATCAAATTTTTTCAATCAGTAAGATGTAGGAATGCGCCATTCATCCTCAGTGAATAGGACGCAGATATTTTTTAGGATTTGTCAAAATATAACAAAAATAAACAGCCATTTAATGGATGTTCCTAGCATTGCCATCTCATCCATTTCTGCCTCATGCGGCAAATATGGGAATACAGTGTAAAATATTAATGGGATTTTTGGTAAAGGGTTAGATTAATGCGAATGATAGATTTGCATGTAGAACGATTGCTAACAACAGATCGTGATGGCTAAAAATGTGGCCTTTAATGTGCCGTCCAAAAGATATCGTGTTTTTTTTTTTTTAAACATAAAAAATACCGGGAAAATACACCACAAAAAACATCAGTTTCTTAGACTTCTGGCTATTTTTTTCAAAATAACTGTCATGTAGTATTTCGTCTTGGGAAATGGCAGGAAAGAAGAACAAAAGAACGAATGCCAGGAGAATGACCACCGGATATCTATTTTGAATTAAAATTACTAGTGATAAATACAACAATTTAAAAAGTTGCCAAAATCGTTCGAATTCACCAAGCAGAATTCTCGAATTTTATTTATATACAACTGGAAATCAAGGGTTGGATTCCGCCACTGAGACAACCAAATCCCTCTACGATTCGTTCATTCGTTTCGATGGTAAATTGGTACTGGCAGTTTATCAAACCTGCTATCAACTTGCTTCTAAGCAATTCCCGAGAGAAAAAGCCGTCGATACACACATCAGCTGTTGGCTGCTGCTGCTGATGCTGCTGCTGCTGGAATACTTCCGAGCGCCTTTGCCTCCCATAGCGAGTGAATATGAAGAAAATTTTGATTTTTGACAGTTAGAAGTGGGAAGAAATGAACTCGGAAATACTAGCCTTAGGCATAATTTGTCGTACACTATCATGGCCAAATTGTTCGATGATTCGCTCAAAATCCTTTCCAATGGATGCGGCAAGATCGTAGACATCAACAACGGTAATGTGTCTCGATGGACTGTCCGCTGGAGACCGTACACTGGTCATCGTACACGTCGAGGAATACCACGGGCGTCCACTTCTTGATTTGAGCCTATTCGCCTATCTGGAAATTATTGCAAAGAGTACCCAGAAATAATATTTCCGTACCGACATTTCATCGAATATACGAAGAAAGTTAAAACGTACGCCAATTCTGCTACCTTTTTCGATGCTTGAACAAAGCCGACTGGTTAACTTTCTGATCAAAAAAACCATAATATGAACAAAAGTCGATTTCAATCGCCCGCTAATGGTACCTAAGAATTCGGAAAATAAATTCTTGGATGCCAAAAAGTACGGCAAAGTTATAAATCTCCGAATCTTAATGGAAATACCAACTTCTTAACTTGTAAAACATCCGGAGGAGCAAATAGTTGGGTCTTTTTAATCCGGAAGTTATCAGATGAATGAAAAACGATTACTGTGCATTTTTTTAATGAAAAATATCGCAATATTTGTCAAATACTGCAACATTTTTGGGCAAACTGCTAATGAATAATCAAGAAAAAACCGCAGTCCTCAATTATGAGTCAAAATATACAAAGCGAAATGCAAAAATGATATTTTTAAAACCTATGATTTCTAATTTTTTAAATTCTATTTCTTGTACAACTTATAATTTTGTATTTTTTTTATAATTTATTAAAAAAAGACGAAAAACATAAACCTAAATTTGCCTGACTTTTTTAAGATTCTGAAATAGAAAATTAATACGAAAAAAGTGGAAAAAAACTATGAAAATCTCTGAATGTACATTTAGCAATAGTCTCGGTACGGTAACATTATTTTTCTTGAAAAAATGAGAAAATATCTTCTGTGAAAAATCAGAATTATTAATAGCATAAAATATTAAAAGGATTTTCGACAAAGAAATTTCTCTCCTTAAATAAATTAATAAGTAATTAGTGAAATGATTTCAAACATTCCAAAAGAGGCCCAAAAATGCCAATTTCGCCCGGGCTGTTCGTGTGGGTATTCCATGTCAGTGATGTTACTGGGATGCTCCTGGGCGGCAGGTAACAGTTGTGCCAGGCGCTTCGATCCTGGGCTGCATGTTTCCAGTAAGCATTCACTGACTGAATTTAGGAATTTCACGAATGAAATCTTGAAAAATAATAAAAACGAGAAATGATTTTTGTGGCATATGAACAGAGACACTTCTCGCAAAAGAGGCAAGTGGCTGGCCACATAAAAAGGAAACGGAGGAGGAGGAGGAGGATTAAAGCGGGGCGATGGGGATGATTTGGCCAAGTAAGCCAGCTATCATCGTCTTCTTGCCATTCCAACTGCTTCAGCACCAACTAACTACTATCTTCCTCAGCCATGGACAGGCCACGACGCAGGAGGAGGGGGCCGGAGCATTGCACTTCTCTCATGCACATCGATTTGTCGTTCTCCGCGAGTCCCGCTTCCTCTGGATTTTCTGTATGCAAAATTTTGAGTAATTGTTTGGAAGGAGG